TCAACCTGAGTTACATACAGTACTAGGTACACCGACTCAACCTGAGTGTTTTGATAAGCATTTCCCAAGTTTCAGTACCTAGCAAATTACTTACATCTTTAAAAATTTCAGGATCAATTTCCTTTTCAATCACAGGAAGAAGAGTTCCAAGCCTTCTCTCAAAATCAACTCCTTCGCTTTCCACAAATAAACCACAGGCCAGGGCAGCCAGTTGCCTGTTTAATCGCTGTACAATAAAAAAAAAAAAGTCACAAGAGTGTGCAGGGTTACAGGAAGGTAGTGTGCAGGGTTACAGGAAGGTAGATACTGCTAACACCAGAGGCAGCACAGATGAGGGTCATGTCCAGCCCTCCCATGTGGATCCTTTACCTGGGAGTGGATGACAGGAAACTAGAAAAGGACCAGTGAGAGAGGAACAAAGAAAGAAGTTAAAGGAGAGGAATAAGGAGGGTAAAACATGTCATATGAGAGCGAAACAGGGGCCTGGGGGTAGAAAGGTTCGGGTCTGATGGGCCAGAGTGGGTGCAGGATTAACCAAACTGAGAATGGATGAAACGATCATTTTCAAAGACAGAGAAGAAAAGAAATGAAATCCTCCATGAGCTCAGTAGAAGATGGGCAGCGGTGAGAGTGACAGTATCAAGTGGGGGGAATAATGAAAACTTCACTCCAGAAACCGAAGAACAGAACTGAAGCACAAGTGTCAGGCACTCACACACTGGAGTGTTCCGTTAACATCATAACATACCCTACTCTCTACAGCTTCTGTACGTTGTGTCAGTTTAAGAGCACACATAATCACACACCACTAGGGCTATCTGGGACAGGGCATGAACAGTCTACAGAATGTATCTTGCATACATTCTTTTTTTTTTGTTTGTTTTGGTTTTTCGAGACAGGGTTTCTCTGTGTAGCCCTGGCTGTCCTGGAACTCACTCTGTAGACCAGGCTAGCCTCAAACTCTCGAACTCAGAAATCCGTCTGCCTCTGCCTCCCACGTGCTAGGATTAAAGGCGTGAGCCACCACCGCCCAGCGTCTAGCATACATTCTGACATAAACTATGCACCAAAGCTAAAAATGTGTCACTGAACCATGACCAAAAGCAACACTAACCTTTTTTGCTTCAAACCAGGAGGTAACTAGAGCAAACAGCCAGTCCCTCTTCTCAAGGCTGACCTTGCTGAGTAAGGACTTGATGGTCATGGATGCCATCCTTTTGCACGTGGCAGAGTCATCGTTGACCGTCATTAGGCAGAGAGGGATGAAGAACATCCCGCAGTGGTCATGGAGGAGGCCCTGTGGGAACACAGGCACAGGGAGAATGGAACTACTATGGGCATGTGACAACAGGGCCAGGCTCCCAGGGCCCAGAGGCAAACTGTACCTGAGGGAAGGTCTCAAACAGATAGGCGATCATTTCCAAAGCAGATTCTCTTCCCGTCTCATGTTCATAACTAGGGCAAGAATGTTAGGTAGACTCAGTATATAATGATTATTTTAAATTAAAATGTATCAGTTTGTCAGCTTCTTTTCTTTCTCTCTCTCTTTTTTTTTTTTTTTTTTTTTTTTGAGACAGAGTTTCTCTGTGTAGTCCTGGCTGTCCTGGAACTCACTCTGTAGACCATGCTGGCTTTGAACTCAGAAATCTGCCTGCCTCTGCCTCCCAAGTACCAGGATTAAAGGTGTGCGCCACCACTGCCTGGTTGTCAGCTTATTTCTTAAACAAGCGGGAATGCCTCCATCCCCTGCACGTCAGTGACTGCATCATCAACGAGCAGCCATACAGGTTTAGGGAGTGTGCTGGGTTTCCAACGTTCTCCTAAATAGACTGGTCAGACTGAGGGAAAAGCATCTCACAGAAATGACAGGGAAGCCAAGAGCAACAGAGCAGCATCCACAGAGAAACTGCCACCAAGCCCAGGCTGTCCCTTCAAGATTGTCACCACACTAAAAGCCAAGAAAAAAACCACCCTCTGCTTCCATATAGTTCACGGCTGTGCTTACTTCAGCTGAGCAAGCATGAATTCCAAGTTTGGTCTCAATTTCTCACCGAGGGGATAGTCAAGAATGTATTTCAGGAAAACCTAAGAACAAAGCACACAGCTCATTATGTGGAGCCTGTCTGTCCAGGCAGGTACCCTCCCCTTCCCTCCCCATGTTTACCTATGAGGCAGGAGACTGACGCAGGGCACAGGGCTTGCTAGGCCAACAGTCCACCACTGAGCTATGTCTCCAGGATTCCCATCTGCTAAGGTGCTGTCTGGGACTCACAGGAGGTACAAACTGACCAAGTCAGGCTTTCCAACCAAGTCAGGCTTTCCAACCAACTCTGGATAAAGCTGTCTGCTAAGCCTAGATCTGTGCCCTCCTCTGTCTTCATGTCACTCACTGAGGTCTGGCTCCAGGGTGGGTCCGTCTATGACCACATGGTTAAAGCTCCAAACCTAAGCCTGCACATCGGAAGCTTCTCTGTCAGGTGGCTACCACCGACAGGGGGACTACTGCACTTAGCATCTGTGTACTCAGCACTGTTAACCCTTGCTTAGTTCTTTTCACGTCCTCACACAGTAGGTGGTAGAAACAAAGTGGTGGCACAGAGAGATTTAAGTAACTTTCTGGTCTAAACTGTAATTTTTTTAAAAAAATTATCTATTTAGTTTGTGTGTATATATTTGCACATGCATGAAGGCATGAAGACAACTTGCAGGAGTTCTTTTTTCCATCACGTGGGTCCCAGGGATCAAACTCAGACCATCAGGGTGGCAGGAAATGCTTTTACTTGCTGAGCTGCCTAGCCGGCCAGGCTTCATTCTTAACCTGCTAGTGTTCATCTATAGTTAAATACACGGTGAAGATGAAGACATATCCTTAAACTCCTAGAGTCTGTTTTTTTCCTGATGCTAAAACAGAGATGCTAGATGCCTACACAGACGGTGTAGACGGTGAAAGTGGCTGAATTGAATAAATAATGCGCTGTATACACCCCACTTTGGAATTACTATTTCTTGGTATAGAGGAACTGACTCCCTCCCTATCATAGCAAATGAGAGCAGATCACAGGCCAAAATGAAGACCAGAGGTCATGTATGCAAAGTCCTGCATGCATGTAAAGCACATGCTAGTGATCATGTATGCAAAGTCCTGCATGCATGTAAAGCACATGCTAGTACTTTAGAGCAGCTGACCCTCTGTGGTCAAGCAGGTTTCTGTTTCTAGGGATTCACTTCCTCTCTTCCACCTGGCCTCTCTTCAGCAGCCTAAACCCTGTACAAAACTGCAACGCTGACACGGTGCTGTAAGAGTAGAGATGGACAGATGTGTAAGCAAATGTCATCACGTCACTTCTCTGCCTAAGGATTACAGTGACTGCTTACTATCCCTACACTAAAAGGTTGGTTTGTGTGTGTGAGTGAGTGTGAGATCTAGGTCATAGTGTGTATGTGGAGGTCAAAGGATAATTTGTGGGAGTAGTTTTCTCTGTCTACCTTCTCGGTTCTGAGGATCGCATGTAAGTCATAAGGCTTCACAGCTGGCACCTTCACACACAGAGCTCTCTCACCAGCCTCAAAGTCTCCACCAGACCACAAGGTCCTGCCTAGCCATCTGCGCTCTGCTCTGAAGTAAGCTCAGCTCCTGCTCACCACAAAGGTCACTTTCTTAAGGCGTCTACTACTTCACCTGAACAGTAAGCCTTACTCTTCCGTCATGCCTCCCTGACGCCTCCTCTAGTAGCCTGAGTCGAAGATACAGCAACAGCATCATCCAAGTCAGTCTTCCGAATCCAGTCAGAGGTCACCTCTCTAATTATAAAGCCAACGCTGGCAGGGAGGGGCCCGACAGTTACTACAGAAGGAAGTTCTGTCTACGCACCTGTCTGCACTGGACTCTGGCAGGTTCATTTTGTACAGAAATTGCCAACTTGGATACTTTCCGCATGATATCGTCAATTTCTGGGACCAATAATTTTCTTGACAAGATAGCCTAAAATATAAAAGGAAAGACATACAAATTTTATGCAAAGATGGAAATAAGTAGGCACGATGTTAAAGTGGTCACAGGCAGTTTTCAAACACAATGAAAATAACCAAAAGAAAAAGCAATTACTTAATAGTTCATCAAATTAAGAACAACAAAGGACCCCCCAATATGATAATCTAGAGCATTAAGTCGGTAATAGCTGCTTGGGCTTGGATAAATATGTACGTATGCACAGGACAGTAGAGACTGAAGCCAGGGCCTTTTACATCCTAGTTTTTCACCATTGAGACCAATCCCAACCCCTCTGGGAAGGTAACTATAGATGTTTAAAATACTATAATATAGTATAGGGTAGGGGCTGGAGAAATGGTTCCATGGTTAAGAACACTGGCTGCTCTTCCAGAGGTTTTGAGTTCACTTCCCAGCACCCACATGGTGGCTCATGGTGACTGACTATCTAGAATTGTGATTCCATGGGATCCAATCCACTTTCTATTGTGCAGACATACATACAGACAAAATACCCATGTACATAAACAAATAATTCTCTTTAAAATACTATATTAGCTTATATCTGACTATCAAAAGCATAATAACCTTCATCAATTAAGCAGTATGCTCCATATTATTCTCAGGATCTGATTTGAGTGCATAAATGTCCAAAACCAACATTTGGCAACATCATACCTTCAGAAGACCAAATGCAGTGGCTTGTCTTGAAGTATCATAAATGTCTTCCTCAGCATAAGCCAGGAGAACCTGAAGTTGTTTCTCAGTTATCTGGTGAGACTTGACTTTCTTTACAACGATGGTTACACACTGTAAGTCACAACAGTGGAGTTAGCAGCAGCCACCCAAGGTGAGGGTCCAATGAAATGAGAAGATGTGATGCGGATGCCAGTCCTGGCTCTCCCTGACTGATGATGGCTGGTCCTGGCTCTCCCTAACTGTAACTGTTTCTTCTCACCTTGAAACAATTCACAACCAGGTGGAAATTCTGGCCCCGTGCAGCCCCTACTCTTGCATAGTTCTTCAGCAGGAGGAAAAGGTGTTTCGTCAGCTGCTCTGCTTTGGTTGCTATGGAAGGCAGAGGGAACCGCAAGACCCAGATCAGGCACTGCAAAGCTCCTGTGATCACCTGAGAAAACAATGCAAAACTATGACTTAGGACACAGGCAAGGAGCTGAGATATGTTGAGCCCACTGTGGGAGATCTGGCCACAAAGTGTAAGTTTCTTGTTTCTTTAAAAAACAAACCAAAACAAAACATGTTTTGAGATTAGTTTATGTGTCTAAGTGAAGAAGGCATCAGACCCTCTGGAACTGGAGTGCTGGTTGTGAGCCATGTGGGTGCTGGGAACGGAACCCAGGTCCTATGCAAGAGCTCTGCTCTTAACTGCTGAGCCATCTCTTCAGGCCCAAGTCACTCATTTATAGCTGTAGAAGAAAGGACTCTCTGTCACAGCAAGAAAAGGAAGATCACAAGTCAAAACAAGAGGTACTCACTCACCATGTTCTTAGGGATTTAGATAAACTGGACAGTTTCAGGACTGTTTTCTTTTTCTTTTTTTTTTTCGAGACAGGGTTTCTCTGTGTAGCCCTGGCTATCCTGGAACTCACTCTGTAGACCAGGCTGGCCTCGAACTCAGAAATCCGCCTGCCTCTGCCTCCCAAGTGCTGGGATTAAAGGCATGTGCCACCACTGCCCAGCTCAGGATTGTTTTCTTAAAAATTAATTTAAAATAGCATTCCTAATTTCTAGAATGGCATCTTGATGTAGCCCATCTTTACTGTTTGTGTCCTTACACTGGGTTGGCCTGATGCTACTTGTATTCTAATGCTAATATTGGGCCCCCAAGTCTGGTTTCCCCAGAGATGAGAGTCTGTACATAGACCTAAGTGACCCTGCCCCAAGTTATTTCTGATTGTTAAACAAAGATGTCAACAGCCAATAGCTGGGCAGAAGAGATATAGGTGAGGTTCAGGTTTTGTGGGTGTGGGGTTGGAGGAAGACCACGAGAAGAAAAAGATACAGGAAGAGGAAGGAGAAGGGTTAGGTGAGCCATGAGAACAGGGCCCTGAGGGCTGGCCAATAGGCGTTAAGAGGAACCCAGATGAAACATAGTAAATAGTGAGTAATAACTCAGGGTTATCAATAGGAAAATAGATTCTAATAACAGGGAGGGTAGGTATTCACCCAACTCTTGTGCTGTCTAAGGCTATTGTAAAGATAAAGACTATGTACGTCTTTTATCTGAGAACAAAATGGTAAAAGGCAGGGTAGGAACTCCCGGTTGAGAGTAAACAATTTCTACAACATGTTCTATATACAAGTGTACATACATGTGTGTGTGTGTGTGTGTCTGTATACACACACTCTACTGAGTATCATGAGTACTGCTGCCACCGCCACCACCTTTGGTGAAGCCCTAAAATTATATCCAGGGCCCTTGACATGCTTGGTAGATGTTTTACCACCCATCTATATTCCCAGTAAACCACTGGGTATTATAAATACAAATTAGCTAGGTGTGCTGGCTCATCCTGTAATCTCAGCACCTGGGAGGCTGAGGCAGGGAGACCTTGAATTTGAGACCAACCTGGGCTACATAGTTAAGAGTCTTTCAAAAGCCCAAACATAAGTACACATATAACTTCTGTGTTAAGAAGAGACAAGAGGCTCAAAATTAGGCCTAAGAACATGTAACATTTCCCAGTTACATACTACGTATGAGGACAGGAAGAGTGTGCTGGTACTCGGTGATCACAGAGTCTCCAAATTCCCTGGTCAGACAGTCCTGCAATACCTGATCCACTCCCTCTAGCACAATGGCATCCATACAGGTTGGATGATGAAGAGATATAAAGAGCCTGGTCATCTTTCTAAGTGACAGCCCATGTGACCCCAGAGACGTAGCTAACCTCCCACCATCTTTGTGTGTGTAGCAGGTGCTCTGTCAAGGAGAAGATGGCAGCTCTGGATTCTGAGAGGTTCATCACACAGACCATGGCTCCCTGCCAGCCAACCCTAGCTTCCCCATTAACAATTGCCTTGGGTGGGGACTACAACCCAGTGGTACAGCACTTGTCTACTGTGCAGAAGATGCATTCAAAACAAAACAAAGCAAAACAAAACAAAACAAGGGCTTGAGAGGCAGTCTACTGCTCTCTCAGAGGCTCTAAGTTTGGCTACTAGCACCCACATCAAACAGCTCACAATTGCCTGAAACTCCAGCAGGTCAGGGATCCACTGCTCTCTTCTGGATTCCTTGGGCATCCAGATACACATGTAGACATACATACGCATAAAGAAAAGTAAAGTAAATCTTCAAAAAGAGACAATCCACCTCCGGATTCAGCAGGGATGAAGTCATTAAGATGATGACAATGGTGACCACAACGAAAATAAAGGTCAGTGCCCTGGGGATATCCCTGAGGGTATTCTGAGAATCAAACTAGGTAGTGTAATACAAGGACTTTCAAAGACGTTCAGGGCTACCCACACAAATGGGGCTTTGTGTGCGGTGCTGTTGTATGTGCATGTTGGGATCCCACCTCAGGTCCTCATGATCACACATTATGGACTTTTCTTGTTAAGCCTTCTTCCTACTGGACCCCTCTAGTTATTCTCAATGAAGTGGACAGAGAAGTAAATGTTCCTAAGGTAAGTGTCAGTATCCATAGTGCAGCCCTTGTGAAGGAGCAGATGCTCCAACACGGACCAGTACTCACCTTCACATCCTGGGCACCCAGGCAGTTTATGAGGAGGGACACAAAAGGGTCCAACATTTCCAGCACATGCTCACTAGAAGACTTGATCTTGGAAGTCTTTAGACTCAGGTGCAGCAGCTAGAAGGTTTGAAGAGGATATTTTGCATTATTTCTCCATGACTAGCTGGAAGAGGTAAAGGAGCTAACTTGCAGAGATGAACATAACATTTCAGGATGCTTCTATTCAAAATAAAACAAGAAATGGAAGAACTCTAAGAAGCGACTCTCAGAAAGCCGTGCTTCTGGGAACTCAGCTTACAGCCAAGATGCTCGTCACCAGATGACCACCCAGCATCTACTGGGATTCCAGCACTGGCTCCACGCACAGGGCATAGCATGACCAGAACAGACCTGGTGACCGCACTTAGCTAGAACACTCAAAGAGTGAGTTTAGAACTGAACGAAGCCAGGCTCGCTGCAGTGTATGTTGGGATGGTACAGTAGGAGCCTGCAGCCTAGGACCAGGAAAAAGGTAAGCCCCAGGAACTAAGAATGATCAGATTTTTAAAAATCTCATCACCTTAAAAAATACAGTGAAATTCTAATAAATATTAGATCAGAATAGTAATGGAGACAACAGTATCATCAAAGAAGAGGCCAAGAATGGTGGTGTATCCTTGTAATCCCAGCTCAGGACACAGAGGCAGGTGAACACTGCCAATTCTGAGGCCAGCCTGGTCTATATAGAGATTCAGGCCGGCCAGAAGGGCACTGTATTAGAAGTATTGGTAGAGATAATAGTAATTTACTGTGCAGCACTTGCACAGGAGGTAGGTGGCATCCAAGACTCTGCAGACGGTTAAACATGAGACAAGTTGTAAGGAAATTCTTACCCGAAGCCCAGACTCAATAAATATGTGCATATTGGTTTTCTTGCTCACGACAGCTTTTGGCCCACCTCGAACTGGAGTTGCAGGGAGCAGAAGGCAGCTCTGGGGTGGCAGTTGAGCATCAGGCACAGGGGCTGCCGGTTTTCTGTCAATTAACCACAATGGAAAAAAATGAAGAAGCACTGCCATCGGCCTCCTGGAGAAGCAAGCCGCACTGACGGGCCGCTGACCAGGTGACAGCAATTCCTAGACTAAGTAACGGATCCGAGTGAAGACAGACAGCAAGAAGATACAGCTTGGGGCTGCAATCTGCAAATAAACACCGAAGGGTCTTTTTTTCAGAGCACAGAGCAAAAATCCAAAGAATGGGCATGAGGTGTTTTCAGATCGCTTAAGTTCTAGGTCTGTTTTTATTAGAACCACAGGGATGTATTTCACATCCATCCTTCCATGCAGTAACTACTTAAACTGTCAGCAGAGGATGGTGGGGGCTAACAGGCTGCTATCACTCATACCTACAAACAAACAATTTATACTTTTCATTTTCTAAGAAAGGGTCTCACTGTGGAACTTGGCTGTCTTGGCTGTCACTCTGTAGTCCAGGCTACATTTGAACTCAGATCCTCTGCCTCTGCTTCCTGAGCGCTGGGACTAACGCTATGCACCACTACACAGGACAAAAAACCCAAAAACCCAAAAAACCAAAAGCCCAATCTTATGTTAAAGTGGAACTTGGAAGAACTTGGAAAGTTCTCAGCCCAAACAACACCAAGTTAAGAAGAATTTTGCTATCTAAACTAGGCTGACTACAAATTCACAATCCTCCTGCCTCTGCTTCCTGAGCACTGGGATTATAGACATCCACTGATGTGCTCAACTTATTTTTTGTTCTGTACTGTATCAGATTATTAAATTAGCACACTTAGGAGATGATGAGTGAAAGGCTCACAGGCCAGTAGTTTAACTTGAAGGTTCCCCCACACTTACTTTTCTTTCTCTGTTAGCAGCGGCAGGTTTTCACTGACCAAGCCGTAACTGAGCAGCAGAAGAGCATCTGCCGTCATGTCCGGATTCACAATCAATCCTGCTATAATTCGGTGTAAGGTTTCGTGAACTTTCCGGGCAAGTTTTAAACTTGTGGTATTTTGTAGGATCTAAACAGGCAAACAGAAAGAAAACAGCATGCTGAAGAAAAGCCATGCTTTCATTTGCTGTGTGGCTCTCCCACATATCTGCTTTCTAGTGTGTTCTATTTCTAATTTAAAAAAAAAGTACAGTACTGTTTTACTGTGAATCTGTGAACTGAGGTTTCCAAAAGAAAACCATCTGTAGGGCTGACTGATTAAACCCCAGGGCTTGTGGAGAGCTGCAACATCGTAGGCCCTGAAACAAAGTGTCTCAGGCTGCCTTGAGCCCCAGAAATGGCCATTTACTGTGCACCCCTGTTTGAGCTGACACCCCTGTGACTATGTAGTAAACCCTTTTGGGAATATACAAACAGACCTCCAGCTTTCACCAAGCCAAAGGCTAAGAATGTCTTCAGATAACATCGTGGGACTACACAGAGACTCTCCACTCTGTTGGAACTGACCTACCCAGTGTTTCCACAAGGTATTTTTAAAATGCCTTGATTTATGACTTTGTTTCTTCTGCTACTATAAAAACTTCATTACTTTGTTACCATGTACAAATTCATGTTGTCCTCATTCACATTTGCCTTCAGAATAATAAAGAGTATAAAATCTTGTATTTTCTCTGAGGTAAGAGCAGCCTCAACTTTAGAGACAATCACTGTGAATGGTTTCTATGCTTCCATCCCTCTGACTTCCTTTCCTGCTGGTGAGGCTCAGGGCAAGTGCTGCAGGTGTCATCTGCCAAATGCACTGATGAAGGTGACTGGCAGGTCTGTTCCCCCCTCCCCCCCAACCCCCCGAAATTAAACTACAAATCCTCTAGGGACAGATTTATCTACCAGCAAACCGAGAAGGAAGAGCAACTTGTTACACTAGATAGCACTTCTGGCTCTAGCTTTAGTGTATGAAGCTGTATAACATGGACTGGTTAGCATTACTGAATGCTAGTTGTCAGAAGCCATAATAGGACAAGCTAATAATTAGCAGTTGATCATCCTGAAATGCTTGCCTCGGATTATTATCTGTGACAAGGGTGCCACATTCAGCAAGGCTATGTTGGACATATTTTAGGGAAGATCCTGCTATTAATATGCTTTTCCTATTTTTATTAAACATATATAACAATCACTAAGCAATAGCACTCCCCTTTGGAGCAGATCTCTGCAGATCCATGAAGATGTACTGTCTTGTAGTGTTGCTATATAGACAAATAGATGACTTCTTAAGTCTTAATGATGATCCTATAAGAATTCCTAAAATTATATCAATGATTATTAAGCTATTTTATAGTGGGACTGTATTAAGTCCCTTTCTGATAGTCAAAACTGCTATAAGAACTCTGCCAGTCTCCGAAGTGTCATCAGTTAACAGCACTTAGATAGTAACCAGACTCTCTCCTGCTCAGAGCACATTCCAAGGTGGTTGTAAAACAATTAACCAAGGATCACTAAAGGGAACTGACGATTTATTATAGGTGCTAGGACAGAAGAGAAAATATTGCTTGGGTTTATCTATACAAAACTTCACTAATTTCTTAGTTATAGTTTTAAACCTTCGGTGAACCTGTGGAGCTAGACAGGTGATGGATGTTTAGTCAGATAATTATTCCTAATGGATATGTATGTAAACATTCTCAATTGTAAACTTCTATTTCAATTTATGATTTGAATTTTGGTGTGAACTTGTGATGAACTTTGTAACATGTGATCAGGTACTCTGAATGATGTATAAGACAAAGGGACGTTCATTAGCGACTCACTTTCTCTTCCTCACTTCACTTCACCTCTCTCCCTTCTTCCCTGCTTAGAATCTCTCTACTTAGGATTTTTCCTTTGTTAGAATTTTTTCCTTTTTCCACTTAGGACCTTCCCATTTTCCCCCTTAGATAGGAAACTTTTTACACTTAGCAATAAACTACTACAATAACTTCTTTAAGTGTCTTTTCTTCCTGTGACCTCAAACCAACAGACCTAAGTTAGAGTCTGGCAGTGCCTGCAGAGACAGATCAAAGGCATTGCTTAATTCTCTGCTGTCCCTGGGTGGAGGTGCAGAAACTGCAGTTTCTGGCCTCAGAGGATCAAACAGATAGCAGGTCAGCTACAGTAGCCTAGTAAGTAAACTTTAGTAATGTAGATAAGAAAGATTTTATTAAACAGCAACCCTAAATATCTCGTAAGATAGTACCCCGAATCTCGTAAGACCAAGTTTTACCCCTCGCCGACGCTCTTCCAATTCCTATCCCCCTTGGCTGCCTCAAGAAGAACCGACCACCCGGAGGAGAAGAAAGAAGATCACCTTCTCCCCCGCACCAAGCCGGGTACAGCTCCCGGCAGCTAGTCACTTAAATGGGCAGCGCAAACAGTAAGACAGTAAGTAAACTGGAGCCCCTGTTCTCTGTGAGACAAAAGAAACAGCAGAAAGGCCGCTTTGGATCAGAATGGTCTAGAACTAGATCCCTAGTTGCTGTAATGGTGCTTCTTACTAGCCCCCTCCAGCCCCAAGCCTTGATTTTCTACCTGTAACAATGTTTAGAACATTTTCATTTATTTTTACTTTATGTGTACAAGTGTTTTGCCTCAAGAGGACAGAAGAAGGTATCAGATACGTTGGAACTGCAGTTACAGATGGCTGTGAGCCATTACGGATGTTGGAAATTGACCCTAGATCCTTGAGAAGAGCAGCCAGTGCTCTTAAACACTCAGCACCCAAGTTTAGAACAGTTAATGGCAGCATTCTGTTTGGCACTATGGCAGTTGTGTCGCTCACTCACACTCTACCTCTCACTGCCTTTCCTCTCACACCCTGTCTGTTCCAGGGACAGTGAGTCCCTGGCCACAGCACCTCAGGCAAGGCTGCAGCCCAGCACACACACTGTACATGTTTGCTCCTTTACACACCAGGCAATCACAGTCTTGCTCACCGACAGTGCCCACCCTGCAGGACTCTCAGGAACTGAAGTACTCTAATGCTGGCTGCTCCTGGTCTTGCTCAGGTCCTTACCTCTTTTAACGGAAGAATAAGTTTCGTAACTTGCTGTTTTCCGACAAACTTGCCCAGGATTTCATAGGAGTCGTAACTCTTGCTCCTTCGAGCCTCCATGACTTTGGACAGAATCTGCTTTACTTCTTTTTCTTCAGCAAGGGCCCCAAACAATTCATGGTTAAAAATCTTTGAAAGAAAAGGAAAACGGCAGGCATAAGCACTCAGCAAGGTGTGCCAAGGCATGAAATCTGTGACGGCAATTAAAGTGAGCTAGACTGGACTGAAACTGTGAGGGCGTTAGATTTCACCCATTTTTGTTTTGGTTTTTGGTTTTTTGGTTTTTTGAGACAGGGTTTCTCTGTGTAGCTCTGGCTGTCCTGGAACTCACTCTGTAGACCAGGCTGGCCTCAAACTCAGAAATCCAACTGCCTCTGCCTCCCAAGTGCTGGGATTAAATAAAGGCGTGCGCCACCACTGCCCGGCCTTCACACACTTTTAATGCACTTTAGAAACCAGTATACAAACACCAGAAAACAACACACAGAACTAAGGCTAAGATCCATACATTCTCATATCTGCAACTTAATTATTGAAATGAACATAAATTTTGAAATCTATTCATCTCAAAACCTGGACATGCAATGCCAGCCCTCTTTCAAAAAAGAAAGGTTAAACACTAGTAACAGCAGAATGTCCATTGCAGTGGACCTATACTGTACCCAACTTATGCTCCTCTAAACCATAAAGATAGTAAATTCCGTCCATCCGTCCGTCCGTCCGTGTGTGTGTGTGTGTGTGTACACATATGGCTGGGAATTAAATCCAGAGAGTGTCTTCTACACTCTAAGCACCTACCACCTAGTGAAACTTTGTCCTCTAAATTTTCATTTCTATCGTCTATTTTTAATATTTGTGAACTTCTAAAATGACCACAGCCCATCCATGGAAAGCAAAATTGCATTCTGTAAATCTTACCTCAGTCATTATGTGAAGACAAGAATCTAAATCCCCAACTTGCAGTTTGCTGGAGAGGCCTTGCAGCAGTGTGTAAACAGTGAAGGTCAGCACATGGACCTAGGACGACACGCAGAGTCAGGATGGAAACGGCTGAGAGTCCCACAGTTGAGGGTGCCGCATGGGCCTAGCAAGTGCTGACCTTAACGCTGTTCAGGGTTAGCTACTGCTCAGAGCAGCTCTAAGTCACGTTCTCACATGTCACCATTTAAGGACCTTTGACAGAAGGACAGCTTTGTTCAAAATAGAGTGTTCAGAAATCCAATGGCATGCTTAGGTGCTACAGTGATTTACGAAGGAAAGACATTGCAGACACACACGTACAAACTGTGGAGAAACTGATCACATCACTAAAGCAGCCAGAAAAAAACATGTGACTCAAAAGAGGATCAAATTGAATAGCTCATTGCAAAGGGTAGTACAGTGTTTTAAAAACAAGCCCTTGTCAAGGTAGGACGCCATATTCAGCAGTGATAGCCTTTTCAAGAATGAAGGTGAGATAAAGGCGTCCCAGAAGGGCAGTGAGAACACGTGCCCAGCCTATGACAGTGGGAGCTCCTCAGATCCCAGGGAGCAGTGACGGACATGCCCAGCAGCTCAGAGGGAAGGCAAGGAATGGAACTATCCACAGCAGGACTACTTTCCGTATTTGACTCTCTCTGTATGTATCTGACCACTAAAAGCAGTTACCACATTACTCTATGAAGTTCCCAACCCTCAAAGACTGAGAGAAGTGACGGCCAGAGAGCAGGGGAGGGGAAGGGACATACACAGTGGCAAGTTTGCATGTTTCACTTCACCTGCTAAAGTCCTGGTCCTCATACACTGTTAGCATAGCATATATATGCTCATCTCTAGAGCATGCTAGCAAAAACAGCCACATAAAGAAAGGATACTGGAATTAGTCAGAACAGGTTCCTTACACAGCAGTAAGTTAAGACTTGCAAGGAATGTTAACTACAGAACTCTTGGAAGAGAACTTGAACAAGTCATAAAGGTCCCCAGACTGGACCCGGGGATCCGAGTAAATGCAGGCTCTATAGGCGACTGTGGTGGGCTCTAGTTTGCACCGTTCTAACATCTCACACTGTTGTCCAGGCCTACACTTGGAGCTGTACCAAGGTTAGACCATCATGTAACTGCTCAATGTTTCACACTGCCTGGTAGCCTTACTGATTTTATACTGTATGCCAGGTTTAAATCTTCAACACATAAATACATATTCATATCTTTTGTATTCACTCAGTTGGCAATACCTTCAAATAAACATGACAAAAAATTTTCATTAAGATCTAGAGACCATGAAACAATGTTACACAAGATGAAAACAGCCCACGTAGCCCGAAGCAGAGGAGAAGCCATAGCCGAGGTCTTTTGAACTGATGGATACAGACTAGGAACCTTTGGCTGTGGCTGTTTGAGGCGGGGTCTCATGGAGCCCTGACTGCCTTTGCTCTCCTGATACTCTTTTCCACCTCCCAGTGCTGGGATTAGAGACCGAGTCTCACACTTGGCTCTGACTGGAAACTTGAACACTGCTGCCTGCTCGCCCCACCAGCTCTACTCAAGACAGACCCAAAGACCTATGGCTTGTAATGTTCAATCTGAACTTATGTGCGATCGAACGCTGCACTTACCTGATACCCGCGGACAAGGGTCGTCTGTAATTCTTTGAGAACGTACTGCAGAAAGTGCACACCCAGATCTTCGATTATTCTGGAGAGAGTGCTGCGTGCAATGTCTCTAATTTCCTGTGCTCTGTTCTTGAGGAGGACACACACTTTCAGCAAAATACTAGAAAATACAAAGTTGAAAAATAACTAACCATGTCACACAAACAAACAAAAATATGCCTATCTTTTTTCTCTTAATTATTCATAACCCGAATTCCTAGTAAGGATTTGGAATTACAGCCACTCGAGGCAGTACTTCTCTTCCTGACAAAATAAACTTATAAGCCAGGAGGAAAAGAAGCAAATTTCGGGTTTCTCTGAAGTTCTCTCATCTGTCATATAACATACCTGGGCAGATTTGCCTCCATAACTTCCTGTGGAAGGGACCGCATCAGCTTGACCATGGCGAAGGCCAGGGGGACTCGGACCACCTCCTCGTCATTCACAACCTTTGACTTGACCAGCTTGTGCTCTTCTTCTCTTTTGGTCTAGAAGAAAAGTTTAGGAGAAATTCAAAGCATATGGTCCACAAAAATGAGCCAACATTGTGCCCTACATTTGACTGTCTCCTTTGATTGTTGTCCAGGTCTTGAGGCTTGCTACACCCAACTTTCTGGACCCCTAACTTCGTATCTGAAGACAAACTTTCTATTTTAAGCCCATTTCTAGTTTACTTTCGTGTGTGTGTGTGTGTGTGTGTGTACACAACTGGGGGCCAGAGGTGGAAGTCAGATGTCCTGTCCCGTTACTCTAGACAGCCAGCAAACCTCAGCCATCTTCCTGTATCTGCTCATGCCCACCATCATCACAGCACAAAGGTGTTACAGACATGCAGCACAGCCATTTCCAGGTTTGTATGTGGATGCTGGCAGGGGGTTGGGGCGGGGGAGGGAGGGGATTAAATTGCACAGTAAGGGCTCTTACTTGGCTTATCTCTGTGAAAGCTAGTTAACTCTGCTGCTGTACTGCAAAACAATGGCTGAGTGTTCTAGTATATATTAGGTTTTATATTGTAGACATACATATTAGATATTAATGTATATATTAGAAAACAAACACACACACTCCCCCACACACTCCAAAGCAGTACCATAGTTACAATGGATGGGTTACTTTGTAGGACTATGTTTTATACCAAGAAGGAAAGGCTATGAGAAATAGACTGAAAAGAAATAAAGGTGTATGAGAACAAACTGTTACATGTTATCCATGTAAAGCAGGAGGGAGATGCATCTCTCTGTCTGTGAGTACTGTGTCTGCCTAAGTTGGTATTTAAATAGTACAGAAGTAGCCAAAAAGCAGAAAGGGAAAACAGATTCTCCTGTTTCATTAGCTTGTCCTTAGAAAACTCATCCTGTCATTTGGAGATAGAAAGAGCAGTGCAATGGCTGCAGCAGGAGATGTCTCAGGTTAACGAGAGAAAAGCTATGAAATGTTGAGATGAAGGGAATCAACAGAAACCCTGAGGAGAAGCCCACCCAATGTGATGGGCTCAGCAGGCCCACACAAACCTGCCGGCCCCAGTGCTTACCGCAGATGCAAGGCACTTATGCAGCCTGGGGAGAATGTCCCCAGTTACGGCTCCCTGGATGGTTTTAATTGTTCTTTCTAACTCCTCCTTATTCCGAGGAAAAAAAGAGACAGACTTAGAGATGCACTCTTTCTCCTTAGCTGCTGTCCCCTCAGAAGCAGCTGCCTCAGGGGCTTCCAGTGGCTCCTTGCTGTCTGACAATCTCTCAGAGACTTGTTCCTTCTCCTCATCCATGTCCTCCACTTCCATGGCTTCATGCTCCAGTAACTCAGCCATCTCAACCGTGTCTGTAACAAAAGTCACCTTTAATTAAAGAAACAACACACTCAAGAGTCCGAGAAAGAAAGATGAAAAAGTCGGGGGCTAGCCTAAGCTACACAGTCAGACCCTGTCTCAAAATGAGGAAGAGATCAAAGAGGAAGAAGTGACGAAGATAAAGTCATGCATCTGGGATAGGCAGTCTTCTCTATCACTATCTATAGACCACTGGTGACAAGCAGGTACAACGGCCAAGGAAGCAGCGGCAGTGAGAGGGAGTGAGAGCCTAATGGTGGAGAGAGACAAGGAAACAGGCAGTTACAAAAGTACATGGCCTGGCCAGGACAGGGTCACCTGAGAGCACGGTGGTGCCACTAAACTACTAAGAGTGGAGTACTGTGAGGCCAGGCCAGCCTTGACCTTGCTCCCGAACTACCTTAGTGACCTACCTTAGTGACCTACCTTAGTGACCTACCTTAGTGGACTACCTTAGTGACCTACCTTAGTGAACTACCTTAGTGGACTACCTTAGTGACCTACCTTAGTGACCTACCTTAGTGACCTACCTTAGTGAACTACCTTAGTGGACTACCTTACTTCCAGGGGGCTTTGGATTCTCAACCAGTGAAAGGGAAAGAGGCACCCACCTTGCAAAACTATTTTGAGAATTAAATGAAGTAAATTCTGTAACTGCCTAAAATTTGTCATCCCACCAACTGTGGAATTTTAAGAATAAAATGGTGACTATGAAGCCTGTTCTTTTTGTCATTTACAGTTGTGAAACTAAGCCCAGTCTCTTCTATCCAGGAAAATCCAGGGAACTGACAGGGTTCCTGAAAGGTTCTTAGCAGGACGATGAGACACTGCCCCTCTGCTCAACCTCCTCTCTGAGTCCAGTTCCCATTTCAGTGTTGAGCACTGTTAACCAACATATGGGATTAAGAACAAAAACCCTTGGCTCAGCCTCATAAAGGATTGAGGTCAAAGATGTTCTTCCCCCTCGGCCTGGACTGTGAGGCTAACTGCACCTAGGGTTGGTCCAGTGCTGATTCAGGCTACTGTGGGTCAAGGGTCTTCGCTGTGTCTCCATGTGATAGGCATTCTGTGATGCCTCTCTGTCACACTGACATGACAGCACAGCACAGGTTGCTGAGAAGGATGCACACGGATAGTCCTGTGTGGGCTTGATGATGGTAAGTGGATGATTAATCCTGAGGCGGAGAAGTAGTGCCCTATCTTTCTGGGCCCAGGATCTCACTGCTGGTACTCACAGACAGACTGCCACACATTAAGGAGACAGACTTCTAGGGAAATAGACAGCATAGCCCTGATGTTATTAACATTATATACTTTAGATATATCTTCTGTACAGGTAAACAAGATGTTAAAGGAATAAACTATTCACTTCAGTTTCTTCCTGACTCAATAACTGGTCCTTACTACAAAGTGAAGAAAAAGCAGTACATTTTGCCATCTTTAATTATCATAAATTATTGAGGAATAAAATAAGAATCTAGTTTAAGAAAGTTTCAAAACATACTTTCTTCATTCTTAACATTTCCCATTTGTTCTTCTAGAGTTCTGTAGTCAAAATGGAATGCTTCCAACACAATCACCAGCAAACTGTCAAGAAAGATACAGAAATGGCATCTGATTAGCAATATCCTCTATGGTGGGGGGGGCAGGTACAGCAACAGTACAACTCTGTACCACATGACCATAACGAGCATCATCAATCATAACCACATTCACACAGTGACTGTAAGTGAAGATCCCAGGAAGACCCATTAAGGAAGCAGAGTTTAGGCTACATCTTAAAGACAAAGAAATTGACTATACCTGACAGCCAGTTTCTGGTTGATTTGCCCTGATTGCAAGACATGGATGAAATGTTTCAAGTAATAGACATATGCTGGCCAAGACAGGTGTCTGCAGATGGCTCCGATAGCCTCTGTGGCAGCAATGGTTATGTTTTCATGCTGTGAAGTAAACAGACAGCTTCAATGGACAGTGAGTGCTAAGAAAACACAGGTGGACTGGATACACTCCACAGGACAACAGGCCATCAGCAATTATCAGAAAAATAAAGTTGTGACCAGTGTAAAAAAACCACACTGCTCAGCCCCTTCAAATAGGAAAGTGGGACAAAAATGTGAATTGTCAGACTCTGGATGTCAAATACAGCATGATAGGACAGTGTTCCCCCAGAGGAAGGATAGGGAGTACTGCCATGACCTGAATTTACTGTACACAGAGACCTTTGGGGTTCCAGTGAACCCTGATGAGCCTGATGATATCTGAGTTACAGAGACAGAGGCAGGGCACGGTAGCTGCAGTGCACGGGGAGGAGTGACAGGAAGAAGAGCACCAGCTGCTTGAGGAAAGGTTGGGTTTAAACAGCACTGACCAGCATACCTGAGGAAGGGAAAAGGGCCACCAAAGCTCAGCCAACGATGGGGATACTCAGACCCCATCATCAGAGCGGCACAGACACCAGGGCACAGACATGTGGACAGACACAGTGGGATGAAGAACACAGCAATCATAAGCACGTGAGCAAGTGCACAAGACCTTCTCCTTATTTGACTTTTTTTTTTTAACAAGACAACTATTTATAAAGCAGTAAGAATATTTACTGTATATTGAAAATTAATATAGAGGCAAGTGATAAAAATCCTTCTGTAACCAGTAAGACAGCAGAGGAAAAAAATCATGAATGTCAGAACAAACCAACAGAAGGAATTAAAAAGAAAAAAGGAAATAAGGGGCAGGACTGTAGAGCTCAATCCAACCTTATTAAAAACGTTTCAGGTGCAAATTGTCTAGAACCAGTTCCCAGGAACAGACTGTCAGACTGGACAAAAAGGAGGGCCCTGGGAAATACAACCTACGAGTCACAAGTGGGTTCAAAAATAAAGGTTAAAAGATATTACAGCAACACTGAAGAAACCTAGGTAGATTCTATCCAGCTGCACTTTGTTCGTACTTCACAGCCTCTAGACTCTTGATTGATTGTGCTTACTGGTTTTTAAAGCAACCTTTTAAGGCTGGGTTTGGTGGTACAGGACCATAGTCCTACAACTAGGGAGGAAAGTTCAAGGCCAGACTGGGTAACACAATGGACCCTCTTGAACTCTCCTGAAGAATAAGGAGAGAAGGAAGAAGAATCTCACTTGCCTTGGTGGCTCATACCTAGTCTGAAGCAATAGGACCACTGGGAGTTTGAGACCAGCCTGCACCACTACACAGTGAATTCTAGGGCAGCCTGGGATAGAGTGAGACTCATCTCCAAACAAATCAACAAGCAAGAAACCAAGGAACCAAACAAACGTAAACATGCCTGCCATTTTTAAGGCCAGCAGTTGGGGAGCTAACAGGAGAGTTTCGAGTTCAGTCAAGGTCAACTTGGGTCAGACAGTGAGACCCTTTCTCGAAAAGCCAGAAATCATTTTAGAGATATAGAAATTTCTAGGTAGAGAATTTTTTATTTTGGTTGTTGTCCCATGTGTGCAAATAGTAATAAAAATATATTCACAATTTACATAGTATTTACCATGTATCAGACATAGTTCTAAGGGCTCTGACCTACTCGTGTCTAGTTATGATGATGAAATTAGTCTGGTTACTAAGGCTCCTGCTTCTTATACTAGCTGCTTACCTTGAGCATTTTCTCATCAAGAATTGGAGCCATGGCATAAGGCATGATGTAATTCTGAAGAGATTTAGAAGACATCACAACCTGTCCCTCCAGGAGCTGCTTAGCCAGTTTCTTCAAGGCTCTTGCTCGCCTGTGGATCTAGAAAGTTTGATAAAATATGCAATGGTTACCACATACTCTCTTCTAAAGCCACCCCTGCCTCAGCCCCAAGTGCTTTATCCATGGAAAGTTTAAAGGCAAGAAACCCTGGCCACGTACTATGAGAGCAGATACCTGGGTCTTGAATTACTTTCACATATAGAATCCATAGCACTTAACAATGGGTCTGAATTCCCTCAGAAAAAAATCGAAGAAGTTGACACTACTATGACTCCCAGGAGACCATCACCTTATGTGCAAATTTGCCTGCTGGTCATGCAGACCAGGGAAAAGAACCCTGACGCCTTCTTGGAACACGAAGGTCGACCTTTCCAAGGAGGCACAGTTGTGTGAGCTGTTAGTCTGAAGGCAGAAGGAAGCAACTGCATCTACCTGAATGTGCTTCATGTTCTCAAAGAAGTCCATTTCCGGGTCATGGTAATGAGTGAGCTGTACCAAGTCCTTAAATTCCAGTTGATTTGGAAAAGTTTGAATCAAACAGGAAAGGATCAGGGTATAGTCATGTTGAACACTCTGCAAATATCACATTGAGAAAAAACAAAAAGAAAAGTATTTTAAAAGAATTATTCGTTTCTGATAATATAAAGTAGATGAAAAAGCCCTTCATATTTTAAGTAAACTATTTCTTCCACTGTAAGAAAAGAAAAAAAAAAAACCTCTAAAATAAAAACCTACCCTCAGAAAGCTTGTGACAATTGGTAACTATTTTAATTATTTATACTAGACTGACTGATTTTCAACAGCAGAAGAGGGAGAATGTCCACAGACAGTAGTAACGAGAAGACACAGTTACAATACCTCTGTCTGGCTCTTCAGCCCTTTCCTCAGTTTCTCCAGGAGTGTCCGGTGAATGATCTCCTTATATTCTTTCTCCGTGACATTCAAAGCAGCTAGCCTTTTGATTATACTTGTCAAGCATATGCTGGCATTGTCACTCAAAGACATGTCTCCTATCTGAAAAAGAGAAAAAAACCCAAGTCTTTCTACTGCTGACTTTCATCTAGTAATACAACATAAACTGTTATTTCCCCAGAAATCAAAACCCTGTCAGAGCTACTGTGCCAAACTCTACTAGGAAACACCCTTGAGTGCCTCATGCTTTAGAGAGAGGCAGACGGAAGATGTGATGACCACAACATGGGACTCTGGGAAACATACACTGAGATGTGCTTCTCATTTCAGGACATGCTGTCAAGCATACCTTTAGATCAGCTTTACATCCCAGAGTAAGCAGAATAAAGGTTCACTATAGCCAGTTTGTGATTATCAGATCATCATGGAAAATGGCAGAAAGGAACATCTGCCTGGTGTAACTTGGATTAAAGGCCCCTCTGTCCTCAGTTTAAGAATGCAGTGAGTTGGTAAGGCAGTGTTTCTGCTGCTCTGAGTACTTCAGGTTAGCTAGCTTTAAGTTTTGAGGATTCTTCAGTCTCTCCCTCACATCTTGAGGAGTTACAGATGTGTGCTACCATATCTGGCTTTTTACATGCATCCTGGGGATTGAACTTAGGTCAGTCTTGACTGGCAAGTACCTTTACCCGATGAGCCAGCGTGCTGCCCTCACTGGGTTTCAGAATAGTAAGACAGCTGTGCAAGCATCATGGGTCTCTATCTCCTTCCAGACAGCTCTCGATAAGCAGTCAGCTTTTCTTTAAAACAGGGCCAGCTGTGTGTCACATGATGGTAGGGTATACTGAAGAGCTGGAGGCAGGAAGATCTGTGACTTTGAGGTCACTCTGGTCTACATAGAGTTCCAGGACAGACAGGACTCCACATTAAGACCCTGCTGTCCTGCCCCCCAGTGGTGAGTTACAGGAGTGGGCCATCACACCCAAGGCAGGCATCCCTTGGCAGTTTTTTTGAAGCGCTTCCATGTATTTATTAACATTCTCGGTCTTTCAAATCATGAGAGAAACATTTAAAAGAAATTTTACCCTAAAACTGCTTGTTCTCTTTCCAAAACAAACTTAGGAATTAAGTCACTGTATTTGGTAGTGTACCATTACACAGCGTGTCTGCCATGAGGCCCACTCACCTCCATATTATAGAAACAGCTGTGCATCACGGCGATGAGGTAGTCCGCATCCACCGTCGGCATTGCCTTTATGCTGGAGGTGATGGTCTGGAAGGCTGAGAATCGGACGTCAAAGTTGATGTCATCAAGATGTCTTTTATCAAAGGCATTAAGCTACGAGAAATGACGGTACAACCATATAAATAGAGGGATTATATCAATATTAATAAACCAATACCTTTGAAGCCAAAGAGAAATAAGAATTCTTTCTTACCTTTACGATATCCGTAATGTATTTTAGTCCACTTTCAAAATCAGACAGACTCTGAAAGGAAAGGGCAATATGTTTACTTTTGAGTTTTAGGAGGCTGGCAGCATTTCTGGCTGTGAGCAGCAGTTACTAAGCTGTAACTCTTCTGCTCTCCTCAGCCCCTACGACCACTCAACCTCATATGACGTCACACTGGAACAAAGGTGCTGGCTCCAATATTTAGGGGGTGGAAAGAAACAGCAATTTGAGATTAAAAAAAAAGAGAGAATGGGCATCATATACCTGGAAAACAGTACAGAGCAGCTGTCTTGACAACTTGTTCTTAATAACTGAAAAGAGTTTGGCGAGAGGTCTGAGGAAGTGTGTGGGATCCAGACAGTGCTGTAACAAGTTCTGCACTGTCACCAGGATGTCAAGCTCTGTATCCTGAGAATCAAGAGAAACTGCATTTCAGTAGCTCATAAAACTTCTCTCTCTCTCTCTCTTACACACACACACACACACACACACACACACACACACACACACACTAAACTCATGCAGGCATGTTTACATGTTCTGAGACCAGGTTTTAATATTTGTAACAACCCTTTATTTTCTGTCTCCTAAGTGTTGGGATTACAGGTGTGCACCACCACACACCGAGTTCAGTTTGTATTTTATGACAGCATTGGAAATAGTTGTGATTAAGAATTGAAAAAAATTATTTCATGGTATTTAAAACATTAGCATTTTAACTTAACACCGAATCTAGGATGTTACGATTTCTTCCTTTAGCACAAATCAAGAATGCATGTGGTTTTGAAAGTCTCTTTGCTATCTGATCTCAGTGGCGTTGAGGGCAAGAGCACGCTGAGGAAAAGCTGCTCTTCTGGTTGGCTCCAGATCCGTGGGCTGATAACCACATGACTACCTGGTCTAGGATGTTTGGCTCACTGCTGACGCCTGACTCATGAGCTCTTAACTCGAGTCAATTAGGATCAGAAACTTGTGTTTGAATATCAAAGGAGAGACTTTTCACTCAATTTTGCCCATGTGATCTATATTGGTGACTCCACAATGCACCTCCTGGTTTCTACTGTTGTTTAAAAGAGGGAGAAAAATCCTGAAATGAATGAGAAGCTAAATGAAGGAGACAGTTTTACTGAGGTGCAGAGGATGGTAGCCCAGTCTCCCTCTATTTCAAATGTTTTACTTCTATACAGTTTCAAGTTTTCTGGAACAAATACTCACAGGATTTAAGCAATAAAATTCCCCACACAAGTCAGCCTAAAACAGCATGCTCTGAACACAAAGTAAGCATCCTCTGAATAGTACCTGAGCAACATTGCCCCGGAGGAGGAACGGAAGGAGAAGTGTAATGAGGAGAGAACACTGTTCTCTGTCTTTCATAAACTTGCTTATCCTAAAGAGGACAAATGGACACGTTAGGAAGATGTGCAGGAAGACGAATCTCTAACAAGCTAAACTGCAGAAAACCAGCAGGTGTGTGTGCGCGCGCGCAGTGGGTGCTCTCACCCTGGCTACTGTTATAACTCTGACAGTATCTGGGTCCTGATGCCGGTGCTATCATTGCCAACTCAGGCTTTCTTATTTTGCAAGGAAATATTCTCAGGCACTACCCTAGAAGGTTTCATACACGGTATTTCAATGAAATCCCGTAACAGCACAGTGACAGAGAATTCCTCTGCCCCATTCTGTTAGAGACAAAGAGAGGAGCAGCTGTGGTGTGGCCAGGAAGCAGCCACTGGGGGGTGAGACTCTGGCCTTTCTGAGCCCAATGGCCTATCATGTCTCCACCACCATATCTCCTGGGATGAACTTCAGCAAACTCTGAGACTCAGAAACATGAGTAAAACATGCTAGCTTCTAGAAGATCCTAATTTATCATTTTTATGTTGTTTAGAGTAATAAAAAGTTATCAGTAAGTTTAGTAACTCTCACATTAAAATTTAGGATCCAACAGTTTCTTATTACTAACTCTGTCCTTTCAGAAAGTGATTATATATTATTAATTCTACTGTCAAAGTCTTTAAAAAACCAGGCTGACTCTTTATGCAATTTGTTCTTCCAAGTATTTTTAGTGATCTAACAAAGCTTGAGACTTTGATTAAGCAGATATGCAAAGGAGGAACAATCACACTTTTTGTTTGACTGGGGACTGGAAGATGTGGCGTGTGCTCCACTCAGAGCTACAGTCCTGCCTGCCCCTCCTACTCCACCCCCATTGTCTTTCTTCTGTCTGATGTTTAGTGCTAGAGATTAGACCCAGGACCTTACATACATTATTAAAGACTCATTCTTTTCTAATTTGTTCAAAAGTTAACTGAAAGCCTGGACAAAGGTTTAAAACTTTATACCACGTATGCTAACTTCACCTTTCAGTACAAATCCGCACTTACTTGGAAAGAATGCCGAGCTCCTTACTGACTTGAACCCTGTTCTTTTTCTTCTTCACCTTCTCTGCACTTATCGTGGTTTTGCTGAGATACTGAAGAATTGCAGGCACATGTGGCAGAATCAATCTCCCTCCTATAGTGACAGGCTCTGAAACAGTGATGTCTCAATTAACTCTTCCTCATCATTATATAAAATGTTCTTGATGACAAACAAGGAAACCATTCAATTATTAATGGACATTTACATTTCAACTCTAGGGGCTGCTGAGATTACTCAGTGGTTAAGAACACTGGCTGCTCTTCCAGAGGTCCTGAGTTCAATTCCCAGCAACTCATGGTGTCTCAAGACCATCTAGGGTAACTGATGTCCTCTTCTGGTATGCAGGTGTGCATGCAGACAGAGCACTTGTACATTAAACATACAACCCCTCACTCCCCCCCAAAACCACACATTTCAACTCTAATCACTAAATAACCTTTTCTTCTTCAACAGAGATACATCAGTAGCTAAATTACCAATGTCTGTAAGACCTGGAGGGTATGGAAGTTACAGCACAGGAACTGCCGGGCTACTGTAACAACAAGAATTCAGGTGGAACAGTGGACAACATTTGCCAGTGTCCTGGAGGACAGCTGAGACTTCCTGGCTGGAGAGTAACCTACATCCCTACATGTGCAAAGAATTTGAGACTACACATGCCTCTGAAAAAAGAAACTAAACTCTACCAATTCTTTTCTGAAGGCAACAGCCGCCTACGATTGTGAGTCAGATGCTCTGTGCACCGCACACACCTGTGTTCTCTGCTACGTCGGCATACACACAGCCAGTTACCGGCAGGCTCAGCACTGTTTCTGTGGGCTCGAAATCTGGAAGGTTGAGGAGATCGTCGACTATCTCCATTATAATGCTAGCTGTGGCATCCGACAGGTTCTTTGCTGAGAGAACTGCAAAGACATTGGTCAGGATATCACATTCTGGGTGCCCAGGTCTCTGTTTAGCCAGAAGAGGGAAATATCTGCAAGGAGAAAGACATTGTAATAATCACCTTATTTCTCAGTATGTTATGTTTAAAACATTCCATAAGAGTTTCTACACCAATGTTTGAGAAATTACTTTAAAATCTAGAACTCAATGGCTAATTCTAACAGTCTATAGCCCTGTATTAGTTAGGTTTGCACCTATTTACTTATCTCTATGACATCTCTATGACACCCCATTATCTCACATTACAGATAAAGAAGGGCAGACCTGCTGCAGCCACCAAGCTGTAGTAAGAAGCAGCAGGGCTGAGACGGAGTCTCACACATGCCAGGAGTGCTGCCTCTTACTGAGCTGTAGCCTCATTTCTAATATAATTGAAGGGGCGGGGGAGCAGTTTTGAGACAGGGTTTTTCTGTATAGTCCTGGCTGTCCTGGAACTTGCTCTGTAGACCAGGCAGGCTTCAAACTCAGAGATCCACCTGCCTCTGCCTCCTGAGTCCTGAGTGCTGGGATTAAAGGTGTGAGCCACAACAGCCTGGCAAGAGTAGCATTTTTATGAAGTAGTTTTGACACACACACACACGTGTGTGTGTGTATAAAACTTTTTGTGTGTGTGTGTGTGTGTGTGTGTATAAAACTTTTAGCCAGGCGGTGGTGGCGCTCGCCTTTAATCCCAGCACTTGGGAGGCAGAGGCAGGCGGATTTCTGAGAGTTCGAGGCTAGCCTGGTCTACAGAGTGAGTTCCAGGACAGCCAGGGCTACACAGAGAAACCCTGTCTCGGGGCCCCCCCGCAAAAAAAAAAAAGAAAAGAAAAGAAAAAGAAAAACTAGGTATACAATATGGTCCCAATTTTGTGAACACCAATAGCAAGATTTTAGATAGAACCACCAGATCAGTATCAAAGCTTTACCCAACACAGGAGTTTTACAAGGTAACAGTGATCTAGAAAGTCTAGAATGCTCCCAGGCTCTTTCTAGAGTCTCCATTTCAAGTAAGAACTGGGGAAAAGGCAGAATTGAAATTCAATGAACAAATGAGTATTTTTTAGGAAAGAATGCCAAAACATGGTGAATTTGTGTGATGATATCATCCTTGTATGACCTCTACTCTACTTCTTCCTTAGCCAGGTCAGATCAAATGACTGAATCAATGACCACACACTGGAGGAACGTATGACCATGCCTTTCGACTTTATATACTATAATTTTCGTTTATATCACATTAGAAGATGTAATTTTACCTATGTCCCCAGTCTTTACTGTGAAGTGTTCATATATTCCAGAGGACATATGAAAGCCCCCTTTCCCAGCTCTGGACCACATGGGCCACAGTTAGGTTTCCTTAAGAGCTCACTCTACGAACACTCTAGAAAAGTTGGTACTGCAGGAGCTGAGAGTGAAATAGTGGTCTCTAGAGACCAGGAAGCAGGGCGGAAGGAGGGCAGAGAACCACGCTTTGGGACTCTACTGCACTGCAGGGTGACACAGGCTACATGTACTGTGGATTTCTAAAAGGCTGCAGGTAAGCATACTAAATGTTTTTACTAGAAGGAAAAAATAAATTTGAGTACATGTGTTCATCCTGACTTTTACACCACACAATGTATTCATGTACTGCAACATACCTCATAAATACGTTAAATTTATGCACTTATTTTTTAAAGTTTGTCATGTATCTTAGATATTTGTTTTATCTCATATTCATAGACAAATACATTTATTAGCATTTTCTAGGGATACATCATACATCATTTTTAAGTCCACTAGTTTTCCCAGCACCCACATAGTGGCTTACAACCACCTGTAATTAATAGGCTCTGATGCCTTCTGTTGTGTCTGAAGACAGCTATAGTATACTCACATACATAAAATAAATCAATCTTAAAAAAACAAAAAAGTCACTGTTCCTTTTGAAAGGAAGGAAGAAGTCTTACCTTGCATTTCTGCTCCAGATACTAATTAGTTTCAACAGAGGAGTAGGCGAATACTGAGTCTCAGATCCAAGCCTGCAGATCTAGGATAGCAAATAAAGGCAATATAAACCACAGACTTATCGAAGACACAAGAGCAAGCAAGCGGTGAGCAGGGTAAGCAGCACAGTGGTGTGTGAAACAGATCAGGGCAGAGAGCACACATAGAGGACAGATGTAGAGAGACAGAGAGGGCAGAGAGCACACACAGAGGACAGATATAGAGAGACAGAGAGGGCAGAGAGCACACATAGAGGACAGATGTAGAGAGACAGAACAGAGCAGAGAGCACACATAGAGGACAGATGTAGAGAGACAGAACAGAGCAGAGAGCACACATAGAGGACAGATGTGGAGAGACAGAGAGGGCAGAGTGCACACATAGAGGACAGATGTAGAGAGACAGAGAGGGCAGAGAGCACACATAGAGGACAGATGTAGAGAGACAGAAAGGGCAGAGAGCACACAGATGTAGAGAAGCAGCAAAATAACAGCAACAAAAAAATGGCAGGCAGGGTGCATGGAGTGTCTACATATTGGAACCAGCTATTTGCAGTTTCAAATGGTCAGAACAACCTGAATTTACACAGCTAGAAACTACTCTCAAAATCAACCTCCTCTCATTGCCTTCTTAGCTAGCTAACTACACTAGTTATCATGACAACTGGTCACAAGCAGAGACATCAGTAAAGACATGCAGGACAAACAACACACACCTTGCCTTGTGCTTGCTAGCATGAGGGGCTATGGCAGTTAGGTCATGTTTCTTTAAGGCACACAGTCATATTCAGTTAACCTTTAGTATAAAAGCCACTGACTCTTGACCGTTAGGTCTAACTCAGTGTTCTAACAACCTGCAGAGATGAGTCTTGATGTAAGACAGAGTAAACAACGTTCATGTCTGGGTGGACTATGCTGGTAAATTAAAACTAAAGGGAGAAGTAGAAAGGCCAGGCAGGATGTAGCCATCCCGGTTTACCTGGGGCCAAACTGCACCATGAAACACAGCATCAATCTCTTCTGCTCTGAACTGATAGGATTCCCAATCCAAAAAGATATCGGTGACCATCTTGATTCCCAGACGTCTTAAATTTTTCAGTGGGTTAATAAACCTCAGCTGTATCTGTAAACAAAGATATTTTTCAAGCACAAACGTCACACACATCCACAGCTGGCGGGCACGTGTGTGCACGAGCGCACACACACACACACACACACACACACACACACACACACACCCTGGTCTCTGTAGAGAGGCCCTCTTGCTCGTGCGGCAGGAAGAGACTTGGGCTGGAGAACATGCTCAGGATTTAACAGCACTGGCTGCTTCTGCAGAGGACCCAGGCTCAGTTCCCAGCACCCACATGACAAACAACTTTAACTCCAGTTCTAGGGGATTCAATGACCTTTCTGGCCTCTGAGGGCACTGCATGTACATGGTACACAGGTATACAGCCAAAATACTCATATGCATAAAACAATAATAAAAATATACAGACGTGCCTCTGTAGAGGCACAGAGGCTGGAGAGTCACAGCAAATGCTAGCCAGATATCATGTCTCCTTCCCTGTGTGGTGTGAAACCACAGCAATGCAGCCTCAAAGCAGAATTATTCAGTTTCCATCAATGGCATTATAGCCATAGTCCATACTTACACAAGGGACTGAAAATTATGTATAGTTCAATATGCGAGGAGTTTTATGAACCTGTGAAGGGCAGACATTACGCAAAAGGCAGAATTTCCACAAGACTATTAAGGAATGAATAGGTTTAAACTCAGAAAGGAGAGGTGAGGGCCTCAGAGTGATGCCTTCCAAACAAATCATGTCAAAAGCCCAACAAATCAGATAGGACTCAAACTCTGATTACCTTTCTCCTGATCACTATATTGTGGGTGTTAGAGATTTAAATGGTAGCACTTTTATCTATGACTTTATTTACCTACAGCTTTACCTAAGAATCATCCTGAAACTTAGGGCAACAAAGAAAATCCTCTTATGTAGTTAATGTCTTTTTTTTTCCCTTTCGGTTTTTTTTAGACAGGATTTCTCTGTGTAGCCTTGGCTATCTTAGAACTCACTCTGTAGACCAGGCTGTTCTTGAACTCAGAGATCTACTTGCCTCTACTTCTCCAGTGCTGGGATTCAAGACATGTGCCACCACCAAAGAACGTCAAGTCTGTTTCTAAGGCACCATGAATAAAACAACAAATCAAGGGAAGTTACTTGGCAAGAAAAGCCAACATCAACCAACAGAGATACCTAAGTATACAATAACTCAGTTTAAATTCAAGTGACTATGAACAAGGATAGTCTTCATTTGCTCTATAAGCAAGGATCATGAAACCTCACACCCGGTCTGCCGTGATCTAATTACCTCATTATTCAAGCTGCAGAGGACAAACACAAGAAGTTACACAGTTACAAGGTACTCTGATGTGCTTCCACGCTATTGGGAACACTTGATGTCCCCTGCCTCAGGTTTGGCAGACAATAAAAACAATCACTGATACTTTTTAAAAACATGGTACTGGGATCATTTGGAGCAAACAACCAACCGGTGTTAGGAAACCTCAAATAGATGCCTCACTCTGCTCCACCCCGGCTTCTCCTCAGGGCGGCACAGGCACATTCTATCCATTTCTAGAGCTACAGTTCCAGCTGTCCAGCTTAATCCACAATTGTTGACCAAACTAGAGGAAAAGCCGGAAAATAGGCAGTTGGAGATTTTACGTATATTTATATATGAGCCACTGCTTCAATGTACAAACACCACAAAACCATTTACAACCTTAACAACACACATTTCATGTCAGCCAACACCCCAGGGGCTATCAGAGTCATAAAGAGCAAGTGTATAACTGAGCTCAAACAGACTCAGACAAAACCACCATGGACGACTCACTGTGCCTCTTGGAGGAACGCCCTGGACTCCTTTAAAAGAGCAAGAAGCTCCAGTCCGTGAAAAAGCCTAACACCTCGCTAACTAATGAACCATGAAATTGCACAAATGACCCTCTGAGTTACGAAACACCGGCTTGCGAGTGAGGCCCATCACTGAGTAACTTCTAAGTTAATCAAAAGTCCAAAGGGTGCATCTTCATGATATAACACATGCAGACACTTCTGCTTGCTCTAAAGCACAAACGGAAAGTCTCATCTGCTCCTCTGAATCTGTATATAACAGAACTTTCCGTGACCCCTTTCCGGAGTCACCCTTCGTTCTCCAAGCCAAGCCTCTTTCCCACAAAGCAACCAAGGCATTTTTTTTTTTTTCATTTTTGACTCAGGGTTTTACTATATGCCCCTTGCTGTCCTGAAACTTAACTATATAGACCAGGCTGGCCTCCAATTCAAGAGATCCACCTGCCTCTGCTTCCAGACTAGGGTCAATACACCAATGAGTAGCCCGGGCTAGCCTTGAACTCATGATCCTCCTGGGTTTGCCTCCTTAAGTGAATGCTACTGGCATGCCCAACCACAACCGACATAAAACAGTGTCTTTATCCATGCCCCTGCTTAAGGCATGTAGGAATCCCCAGTAGGTGTACGTTCATCCTTTCATGTAAGTCCCTGCTGTATCACCAGTCTCATTCACGGGATGCTTCCCATTCTGTCTGCCCTGGACACCTCTGCTTTTCTCTCCTTACAACATACCCAACTGTGCTATCTTAGGGGGTCAGCTCTGGTGAACCATTTCATCATCAAGGCCGATTTAAGTATATCCAAAAAGCAGCTTAAAATTTTGGCGACCAACTTCTACTTAAGACTGCATTTGGAAGGCACTGGGTATATTATGAATCAACAGAGATGATTTTTTTTTTTTTTTGACAAACTGAAATTTACAACAGATTCAAAGGCAAAATCTGAGGCTGGAGATCTTTACTTCAAATCCAAAGTGCTCCAAGAAGCCTTCAGTGCATTATAGTGTACAAATACTTCCCCACTTTCTCCAAAGTAAGCTCAGGGACACATTCCTATTTTATCAGAACAGGTCTGGACTACAATTCAGCATAAAACCTAGAGCATTCACCTCTCGGTAGTCAGCCAGCTAATTAGCTAGTCCTGCTCACCACGCTGGTTATTTATTCAAAACACTGCACTGGCTTCAGCATTAATTTCCTAAAGGGTCCATGTGGCTCTGCCTCAACATTAAGGGTTACGGAGGGAAAGACATTAGTGATTCAGACTCTAACCCAACTCCCAAGAAAAATTCTCAGTTAGAAGCAAGCATCTGCGGTAAGCCTCTCACCTTCTCTCGTTGGTTGAGGATGTGGGAGACGGTTGCTGTCATACACAGCAGGATCTGCAGGATCTTGGGAAGGTATGCGCTGATGAGATGACTGATGTTCTTCAACACGACCTCCAGGCTGTTCAAGACGCCGTGCTGCCGCCCCAGAGGGAGAACTTTAGACACATCCAAATCTTCCACTGCCTGGATGACTGCAGAACAGCAGTCCCCTAGTGAAACGGAGAGGGCGTGACGTGCGGTGAAGTGTTAGTCTACTGCAGACCACAGCATCCCCAGCTCTCTAAACAGCGCCGTCTCTCTAGTGGTGTGTTATTTATAGGTGCCAGCACCCTTTTCTCAGGTATTATCTCCCAACTCTTACCAATGCTTAGTGAGCTATTTTAATGTTGACATTTCAGAAAGGGAAACTGAGGGATAAAGAAAGATAAGAAGTAGTCTGAGAGCTGACTCTGAGTGTAAATCTCACCTGGTTTTATTTTATTCTTCCTCTTATTTCCTTTTTTGAGACGGGGTTTTTCTACTCTGTAGCTCTGGCTGTCCTTGTTCTCACTCTGTAGACCAGGCTGTCTGTGACCTATCAGAGATCCACCTGCCTCTGCTCCCACATGTTGGAATTAACGGTATGCATCACTACACCTGGCTCACCCAATGTTAAAAACACTATTCCTCAACACTGAAGTTACTGAGCTCTGCTGAGTTTGGCGAGTTATAAAAACTCATAGAAGACTAAGAATAAAATTTCTTTTTTTTCATTTAATTCCAGGTTAATAAAAACAACAGTACTTTGTAAACAGCCGTTACAATACTGATTGCAGAATTTGTTAAAAAGATCTGAATTGATACTGCTTAAGCTTCCAGAGCCGTCTGCAATAAGACGATGAATTACTAATGTACAACTTAGACCGCCTAAGCTGTATCCTCTGTATCCACCCTCCAGGGGGGGCACCCACCCAACAAAATGCTGGTACTCATTAGAGTCACTCTCCTATACACTGAACTGAAACAAAGTGCATTATACTACCAAAGAAACATTTATGTTAGGCTAAGCCAATCAATTCTGGAACCGGAACAAAGGATTTTATAGTCAGAAAGTTCTGAGTTCAAATCCTACCTCTACCAGTGTTCTCATTTGTAAAATGGGGACAATTATGTAATGAGAATTCCTGTGTTTGTTTTAAACGTCAACTGATGCCTGCAACGTTATGTTAAAGTAAGGGCTCAAAACATCTAGTCATGGCAAGTGCTCTAGGACAAACGTCACACGCTATGAGAGCAGAAAGCCAGAGCTTAGCTTGCACTATTACACACACTTCTCCACTGCTTTCCAACTGAGCTGAGGACCTGGGACTGGGAGGTAGAGACAAGCCACTGCTCTGCAAGCAGATGATTCTGTGAAATGGTCAGTGACTAAATGGCCAGTGGATTACAGAGAGATAAGCACAGGTGACATCATGGGGCCGGGGTGCGGGAAGCAGCAGCCCCACTACAAAGACTTACATCCAGGAATGGCATAAATTCACCACAAAGGTATGCATTTGTCGAGGGAGGCAGCAGGGACCTACCGTTCTTGAAGTGCTTCACAGGCTCAGACAGCAGGTCTAAGAATAACTGGATCTCTTCAGGTTGGCTCCCCGCGAGGAACCGCAAAACAATGGCCATGCGGGTTCCCGAAGCGGATTTGCCCTGGGTTTTACTCCCTGTCTTATTCTTCATCCGCCCATACAAAATTCTGCAAAGTCAAAAGAGCATTATCCTCACACATGTTAGACATATCACTAGCTGCTTGTCTCCATACAGGACTGTAATGAGCACCTCCAAAGAGTACAACTGATACAAAGTCAAGAGAAAAGGAAAACAGGTATTTGGAAAAACAAACAGAAAAAGGCAAAGAGAGAAAAAGCAAAACAGGCAAGTCAAGAGTAAGTTAAATCAAGGAAAAGGGAAACCAGTAAGAAAGACATTAAAAGGAATTGAAAAAAGAGTCTGAAAAAAAAAAGGAAACCAGAAAGATTTAAGTTAAAATCTAGGAAAGAACAGCAAGAAGTATTTAAAAAGAAAAGAAAAAGCGGCGGAGGCAGTGAGATCTCCGTGCGCTCCCAGCCAGCCAGGGCTGGACAATAAGACCCTGTCTCAAATCAAACAATAAACACAACAAAATCATACAGAGCTCTTCTAGTTTTACAAGCACATTTTTTAAGCTTTTAAGGAAAGATATAATTTCTATGCTACAGTTTCATAGTATAGAGAGAGGAGGAAAACATTTTTTAATGGAAGTTCATAAAAGTAATGAATAAGTTAACGAGTGAGAATAAAAAGCAGCACTAATTTTGCTTATAAACATAAAACATCCTTTCCCATTCCCCTCCCTCCCAATAAAACTATACACTAGACTAACCAATAAACACAAGGCACAGCATTCCTTCCTTATCTTCTTCCTTGTACCACCTACACTGCCCTCGAACCCGCCTCCTAGGATTGCACGGGTGCAGTGTCCCACTAGGCTCGAAATACAGTTCTCTTTTATTTTCCAAAGATGACTGTTATCTTATTTTATGTGTATGTTTTGCTTGCACATGTGTGTGCCTGGTGGCCACAGAGGTCAAAAGTCACAGACAGCTGTGACCGACTAACAGTTTTAAGAGCTGGTGGTCAGACAGTCCTCTGCAAGGGCGCCAGTGCTCTTCCACCGAGCTGTCTCTCAGCCTGCCAATCACATCTCTAAACACAGTTCCAGCTGATCTCTCACATCACCTAAGCATAGCCCAGGGAACGCACCAATCCCAGCAGGGCGTCAACAGGAATAAACCAGAAAAAAAAAAAAAGCAATGGACCATTTTAATACATGCTTACTAACAATATTTAACACCCATTTCTCATAAACCTTCAGATATCTAATAAAAAATACTTTGTTTGTTTGAGACAGGGTCTCCCTATGTAGTTCTCTATCTGATCAAGAACTTGCTATGTAGACCAGGCTGGTTTTATACAGATATCAACACGCCTCTGCTTTCCTGGTTTCTGGGATAAAAGGTATGCAACCCAGCTAACTGCTACATCTTAGTATGAGAAAATGTACTGACAACACTCAAAACTTGAATATATAGTTTAAAATGATTTACTACTAAAACACCTTTAAACTATTAGAGACCTAAAGAATTTTTGTCTGAGTTTACCTTTGGTAGTTACTAATTTTAGAAATTAAAACTGAGCAATTTATGAATTCATTAAAACAAAACATGTTTATCACATGTTAATATAAATAACATTTTAATAAAAAAATTATATGCCCCAATATCTCACCACTAGTGAGACTAGAGGTACTAGTCTATTTTCTGACTGGCTTTACAGAAGATGACCAGATGTTCACGTCACTTCAGAATCTAACCCACTGGAATGGAAAACTCATCTGTGTTAGAACAGGTATAAAGAAACCTACAAATAATTGTGGCTATTTCATTTTGACACTGTACACAATCTCAGCAATCGCCTACAATGTGGAATAGGAAACTCTATCAACAAACTCTATAACGTTTCACTAGAATCTCCTCCTCCTGAGCTTCCACACCCTGAACCTGTGACTGCATCTGTTACCTGGAAAACAATGGCTGAAGCAGTCATGGAGAAAGGTCAAAGGCTGACACTTCTCACCGTGAACCAAAAGAAGAGGTGTATTAACCAATTTTTAAAAGTACTGTTATCCACTTCACATGTTTCCAAGTAACTGGGGAACTATCAGCTCACTGGAACAGACAGAAGTTTTCCAAAATCCTAATTTTCATTTGACAGTTAACATTTAGTAACTTGAAACCAATCCTGTCATTTGTTTTTTTTTTGAGTTGTCAAGCTCACGGCACTGTTTAAGGAAACTCCTGTGAAATCCAAGTTTAACCAGAATGATGCTTCATTATCTAGGTTTTCAAATAAAAATGGTGTTGCATGGAAAAAAGGGCACATCTAGTTCAGCTTGCAACTCACACACATAGACGTCACTCTGAGATAACCCGTGTGCAGCAGGAGCACCTCACACAGCCTCCTACGTCAGCACAGACAGTAGAACGGTCCATACTCAGAGGGCTCTCCAGAAACTAAGGCTCTTTTGTCTGCACTTTGTTCTCCAATTATGTGTCCATGAAGACTCAGAGTGCAGTTTGGAACCAATGTCCAAAAGATCCAGGTAAAGAAGAGAAAAAGCAGAACTGGAGATGAGGCTCTGCAGGTGGAGTGCTTGCCCAGCACACACAAGGCCCTGGGTTTGAGCCCCAGGAGCAAGCATGGCGATGCATGCCCGCAATCCCAACAAGAGTTCAAGGTCATCAGCTACACAGAGTCTGAGGCCAGCCAGGCTAGGGAGACTCCACTTAAACAAACAAAAAGCAAAAACAAAGAAATATTCCCATTACAACTGCTGCAAAGAACCACATAACTATTAGAGCTGTGCTTTGATTCACATTTTTATGCAGTATAAATACCTCATCAGAATGGGAAACAAATCTGCCCGGTGGGCCGCTTTCACCACAGTGTTATCTTCCGAGATGTTGAAATGCACGATCTCTTCCTTAAAGCTTCGGTCGTCCAGCAGCCTTTGTAAGTTTTCCCTTTCAAAAGACACAGCACAACCCATCCCTCAGTCCAGGGCACTTTCCAACGACAATGGAAAGAGCAATATGTACAAATACAGCTAAAACATAGTAAGTAGTTCACACTGAGGCTCACACCTGGAAGGACAAGCCTCACACAATGTCTCTAAATTCCAAGAGGTAAATGGCTTAGAAGGGATTAGAGTTGGTCCATAACCCTGACGTTTAGGAGAATATGACACAAAAGCATTACTCCTTAGGCAGTACCATTCCCTAGGTAATCGCAAAGGTTTTATGGAATTATGTTAACAAGGACAGAGAAATGTTACCACTTTGTAAGACATATTTTTAAATTAATAATTTCTTTTCCATTTTCTTATCTACAAAGAATAATTCCACAAATACACTTCTGGCTTTCATTTGTTGCCTGGAAATAGTTACGATCACTTCGGAGAGGGGGACTTAGGCCTGTAAGCCGTTACTTCAGGCTTCAGGTAAAAGGCAATGTTTCTCTAGTGTATGTTGCTCACCTGTAAGGGAGGATATGAGGATGCCTGTAGGTCATTATGCAGTCCAAAGTTATTTTTTGCACGGCTTGATCTTGGTGTAGCAATAACTAAAAATGACATTTTACAGAATAAGTTAATGAAGTAATACATACACGAACCATGAAATAGAAATTTAACTAACCAAATAGTAAGACTCTACCTTAAAAAAAAAAGAAGAAGAAGAAAGAGAAATTGAAACTCTGACCTGAATTCTCTGTGTGAGCCTGGACTTTAACCACCTGTGCTGGTCCTGTGACAAGGACATCCTATACTATATACAGTTAATACACTATACAGTTAGTAGTCAGCACATGGCAAGAGGGGACTCGGCTGCAGTTGCTCTGTTAGTAAGTTTAAAGGACTCTTCCTACGGCCAGAGGCTTCTACAGTCAGTCTGCTGAGCAGATTAAGTTCCTCCAAAAGACCGTCCACATACGAGAAAGTTCACTTCCTCAGGGCATTGTATCTTCCTGTCATCTTTTCTGGAGTTGTGGATAATTATAATTACAGGTCACAACCATTTCACATACCCACTCTCATTCCACTGAACAGATTTAGAAATGTGAGTCCCCTCCATGGCTGAATTAACATGAAGGAATGGCAGCCAGTCATCCTTTCTATGATATAACTATGACTTACTGTTCTTACGTCTAATACAGATGCTCAGCGTCAGTCACTCCATACTGAAGTTGACTTCAGAGTCAACTAAACTAGTGCAAGCTAAAATTGTACATTAATATGATTTTTAATGTATAAGCCTACTAACAAAAATAGTACTTAAAATCTAGAGATGGGCCCTATCCACAGCTGTGGAAAACCCAAGCTGCTCTGGTAAAGAAAATGTGAGGAAAGTTGAGGGGTCAAAGCACACAGAATTTATTAGACTTACCTGAAGATATAATTCATACAATTTGGATTCTAGATATAAGGCCCGTGGGTTTGAAAACTTAGAGAAGACTTGCAAATGAGCAATGAGCTGCCTAAACAGAAAGAGAGGTTACCGTAGCAGTAAAGAACAGAGGCTGTCTTGAAATAACATCGCCCACCACTTTAGTTTCTGACAAGTATTCCAAACAGTCTACCCAAAAGTCTGCTGCTAATCACCAAAGCAAAGTGTTAAGATTAAGAGATTATTTTCTGGAAACTTCACATCTCAGGCGGCCTCTCTCCACAATCCAGGTTTTGCACCACAGTAAACTTTCAGGATGTGCATAGAAAGGCTAGCTACACCAAAACTGGAAAGTAGGTGGAAAAAACATTATGCTCTCAGAAGGTGAGCACGGATGATTTGGGGACTTATTCCTTGGTGAGGTTCCACGCCTCAGGCAAGGAAGTGGCAGAATTCACCTGCCTCTTGCTCACAGAACATAAACACGGAAGGCATACGACCAAGTTTAGGTGACGATGGCTCTTGCTTGCACAACTGACAAAACATACAGCAAAGCTCTGGGATTGAGAGGTAAGAGGAAGCTAGGACTGTCCAGAGCGAATGCATTGTCTATGGTGCAGATGGAGAACCGTGTCTGCCTCATGTGCCCACCTGATTCCCTAGGACATGGACTCTGGGAGGCAAGGTCAGAAAGCTGGTCTATGCACACTGAGATAGCACCAAGGGTCTCATTATCAATTTGTCCACTCACCTTCCCTCTTCCCGCTCCAGGGTCTCACAGACTCACTAAGTAGGTCTGGTTTGCCTGGAACCTGCTATGCAGATCAGGCTACTCTGAACTTAGAGATTTGCTTGCATCTACCTTCTAAGTGCTGAGATTAAAGGCAGGTATGTGTGTGCGTGTCACATAGCCAGCACAATTTATCCACATTTTCAATGATGATATCTGGCAGCAATATTCTAGGTTTGGGTATAGGAAGTAGATGAATTATTACAGAATTTCTCTTTTTCTTCTTTCTTTCTGTCCCTGGACTATATAGATGAGATTCACTGTCAACAACTCGTACCCCCACCTCCAAACTGAAATTATTTGTGTGCACTACCATGCCAGGCTCATAGAATGCTGTCTGAGCACAGAGCCACATACCACATACATGCTAGGCAAGCACTCTGCCAACTGAGCTACATGCCAAGTACTTCTTCATTTTTAGTGTTTTTAGACAAGTTTCTTTAGAACACTTCAACGGACCAGGAAAGCAGTTAATAACAAGAATACCACTTGTACCTCTAGGGATTATAAAAGCCCCTTATGATTTTCATAAGAAAGAACTGGAGCCGGGCAGTGGTAGCACACACCTTTAATCCCAGCACTTGGGAGGCAGAGGCAGGTGGATTTCTGAGTTTGAGGCCAGCCTGGTCTACAGAGTGAGTTCTAGGACAGCCTGGGCTATACAGAGAAACCCTGTCTCAAAATACCCCCCCAGCCCCCCACCTCCACTCCCACCCCCCACCCTGCCCCCCACCCCCACCAAAAAAAGAAAGAACCATAAAAAGCTAAAATCCAAAGCAAGCAGAGATTTCATGATACAAGTTATTGTCAGTTATGAGAGTTTGAGATCACCCAAGGTATCTTCAGTGAAGAACTAGAAGTACACGTTCAAGGATGAACAGGTTGTCTCAGTGGGTAGAAATGAGGCCAGAGCATTTGTAAAGAGTGTGTGCAGGCCCAGGGGTGAGAAAGGCCACGGTGTGACTGGATAAATGGCTTATTCATTTATTCAACAAACATACAGTTCTAAGTAATCTTTTGCTAGGGATTATGCTGATAGAAACCGAGGAGAGAAGAGCAAGGAACTAAAGTTACACGGCAGAGCTTGGCCGTGACCCTTCCTGGGCCTTTATACACTCCTTCTGCTGGCTGACGGGTCCCTTCCCTCTCTAATACTGGCTGATGCCAGTCTTTCATCTGTCAGCAGCAAAGGTATCCTTCCTGTGAAAAATTTTCTCCCAGTCTTTGCCTCAGTCTTTGTGGTAGAAGGAAATAACTCTTTACAGTGTTTCCAGAAACCCCATAAACATAATTTGACCAGCCATTTGACACACTCTCACATTGTAGATGTTCGCTGTTCATCTTTGCTGCCCTGCACTTAGCAAAGAGTACTGGCGAGCTACCAAATGGATAAATCTATAAATGGCTAGTATTGAAACACACAAGTGAGATCTAAAAGTTTAAGAGCAGCGTCAGCCTGGTGGATCAGACCTTCAATCTAAATAATCTTTGGGTAAGCTTTAGGTAAGCTCAACGAGCCTCTGAAAGCAGGCCTTTTTTTCCTTCCTCTTTTTTACAGTTTGGAACCATTTAGGTAAATGAATAACCAAGGGAACTGGAAGATGCTGAAGCACAGGTGAGCAGCAGGGGCTAAGTCAGAGGCAGAGGGAGATGCTGACAAGAGGCCCTGCTGCCTGCTTCCTGCTACACAAACAGCGTCCTAGCCTGCAATGCTCATCTTTAAAGGAACCATGACAAAAAAGAGCCAAAGCAACAGTTCCTCACGTCCTAAGAGTCTGTGGTGAAACAAGAAGCTAGTCAGTAATTGTTCCAAAAACAGAGCAGCAATCCTCATGGTGCCCAAGAGACTAAAGAAAGGGGCAAAAAGATCCAGAAGAGCAACATGAGATTTACTGGGCCATAATGACAGAAGTGTGGTCCTGGGTAGCACCGATGCCAGCAGACCCTCATAAATGTCACTTGTATAATTCTGGGCCTGCCTGCCTTTATCTTTGATGTCACAGAACAGCACAGCCAGTTTTCCATGCCTGGCACCAGTGTGTTTCAGAGTAAGAATCTCAAAAGACTGATGAAACTGTCAGGAGAATCTCAGGACAGCATGTCAACAATTATCTGAGGAGTATATCTTTTTGAAGCTATTTCCCAGGCAGACAAGAAGAGACTGCACTGTTTTCCCTACAAGCACAGCTCCATGATCAGCCAGTGATGGGGAACTCACTTTGCTGCAGCCCTTCTTGTCTTCTTCTTCTGGGGCGCTTCATCTGTGGGCACGGCCTCTTCCTCCAGTTCTTCATCCTCTACAGCAGCAGGTTCTTCCTCTGCTTCCTCAGCCACTGCTCCTCGGCCTTTTCTGCGTAGATCCTGAGTAGGAGCAACTTGCAGATCTGCTGGATAATACTCATTGCTGTAAGACGACACATTCGAGAACAACACAGTCAGGAGTGCTCATCAGAAAGGCATCCATAGTACATGGGAACGAACACACACAGACGAACACACACAGAGACACACACACACACACACACAGACACTCACACACACACAGACATACACACACACACACACACAGACACACACAGACACTCACACACACACACACACTCACAGACACACACACACACACACACACACACACACACACACACACACACACA